CCCAGCTGTTTACATATATTTACCACCTTTTAAACCGCGGTTGTTGCATGTCAGGTTGATAATGGAAATGACAAATATTTCACGTATTAGTCGGATAGATATCCCCCGCTGAGAATCTAGATATCCAATCAAACATATTGCACTGATATTGATAAGCAGCACAGTAGCACTGAAGTAGGCTGTACGTACGGGTGTACCACTTATGCACATCGCACCCCGTGTGCCTGACCTTGTAGTTTTTCATCTGTGCAATTTGTGTTCCTTTGTTGTGTGGTGACTTCACTTTGTTATACCACTGCTGCGGTAACAGCACCTAGCTCCTTGTATATAATGGCGCGGTTTTGATGGTTTTGTACGAGCCACATGTGTCGTGACATTGCTTTATCTGCTCGTTTTATCTGCTCGTTTTGTGAATGGCAGAGAAGAGTTCTAAAACGTATCTCATGATCTGACTGTAATTTAACGATTCTGTTTCGCCAAAAGTCTGCGTGTAACGTACTACCTAGCTGTCGGTAACTCATGAGTCCATGTGTCTTTATATTCTTTCATAGCTGCTTTTGTTGGGCTTAGGATTTGTTATACAGCGAGCTAGGGCCAAGCTCAGCGACGGTAACCTGATTATACGGTTCCATATTATAACCGTAGGAAAATAAGAATTATCACCTTTTTATATAGAAATAAATAGCGCAACTTTACACCGCTGAGGGATGTTTGAATTGCTTTTATTTCAGGTCTATTTGTCACTGTGCATTATGTATGTGTGTGTGTGTGTTAGTGTTTTCAATACTCTTGCTCCAATACGTACGTCACTAGTATTTCAATTGTCCTGATCTTTTTACGGTTCTTAGTCTTTATAATTCCATGTTGCAACGTGCTTTTTGTTCATTGAAACAAGCAGCATTCTCGTGTGCATCGTTCATCGTGGATAAGTCAAGAGTCACGATTAATAATCAAAATAGACATTTTAAGAATTTCATCTTCGTGCTTGACACTGTAATGACAAAACTTTATCTAATTTATGTGCTGATCACTGTTGTATGAACATTGAACTGTTGAAATTAAATTGATATTTTTGTGCTCACCTGATTGATCTAAATGCCCTGTTTAAATCTTGCTCCTATAATTTGTTTCCAGTGGCCGTATACTTGTCACAATTTTAATGGGTGATTTAAATCAAAGTCGCCATAGCATCGAGGCTTATTCAGTCCTTGCTATCTGGCGTCTGCAGCATTGCTAATACTGGAGTTGTTTATCTGACTGACGGCTGAGGTCACCCCTTAGAGTATACATGTAGCCAACAATTTACTCTGCAACTGCCATATATTTTGAAGCCATATAAGGTCAGCGATTTGGGGTCAGTGCGCTAAAAGTGCCCCTCATACAGATTCTTCCACCCTTCTGTATGCTCCCCAAAAGTATAAAAGTTTTCTTCTATTTGCAGGCGGAGGGGAGTCTTTGAAGGGACACTCTATCTTGGCGACACGTTTCACTTACTGCTCTATCTTTGTCCACAGTAAGGAATTGTGAACAGATGAAACTTGCAATTAAGGTTTCAGTATGGTCCATGTCGGTCGCGTATTATATATAGTAGTGATAAAGTCCAATTTTATCAACTTATTCAGGGATGTCATCACTTGCAAATTAACACAGCCCAGATCTCTCACAAGATACAATATATTCAGTGCCCTTTGATCTTACACTTCCATTCGTGAACTACTCAGCGCCTCTTTCATATTAAATCATACAGTTGCCGCTCCCCGACTGTTATTAAGCTAAACGATTAAGCTTGCAATACAAAATTGCAGAATACTATTTTGTCTACACGTTAATGTCAAATATTTTGATTATAGCCGTTCGTTTTGGTAGCATTCATAGTTGCAAATATTTTATGGCTAACACGACCCGTCACGTCTGATCCTTCTTGACCTCGCTTTAATTAACTGTCTGGTTAAAATCCTATTTTATGCATCGCCTCCTGTAACACCGGTTATGAGAATAACGACGCATTTTACCCCAGCCAACTGTTAAATGTGTCTCATTTCCGACGCCCGCTCCCCAGTCGGTTCTGTGAGCTAAGAGAGAGAGAGAGAGGAGAGAGAGAGAGAGAGAGAGAGAGAGGGAGGGAGAGAGAGAGAGAGAGAGAGAGAGAGAGAGAGAGGGAGAGAGAGAGCACTTTTAGTACCATATATCATGTTGATAATGATTCGTTTGTCATCGCTGCCAGCAGCTGCTGTCCGATTTCAGCTGTGCCATCAGACCATTCCTTGCTGGCTCTGTGATTAGGTATTTAGATGATTAACAAAATGATGCGCCGGTTCACTGGCAATGGCTGGTTATTAGACCTTTGATACCATTAATTCTCAATGATCATCTGTAAGCAGTGGAGCATTAGCAATTAGATGATCATACTCTTTTGTTTTGTTAAACGTACCCATCTTGTTGTGAACCGGGTAGGAAATGCAGACTAGCGTGCAAGTGTGAAAAGTTTTAAGTAGATCAAGCCATACTGATACCTTAAAAACTAGCCCAGTTTTTCTGAGGACTCCGTTCTTAACGGCTTTACATTCTTTCGACAGAATCTAGTAGCCCAAAATTGTGAAATTATTTGTCGTTGGTACATGCATTGTTTACAACGAGCAGCCATGAAATATATAAAGTGAGTCATTAAATATGCCATTCCCATATATTTCATTTGTCATTTTACTGGCTTCACTCTATTGCATTCCGCTCTCTTTTCAACTAGAATCTGTCTTGCTGCACTCTTGTCTTTCTACAGATGTATAGAGAGAAGTGTGCTGCTTAGCATGCTCCTGTCTAAACGTTCTCTAGTTTCCTTTGATCCGTGGTAAGCACCGTTCTAGTCCCACTTTTGTGCATTTTACACTGTACTGACCAGTGTGTGATATTGTGAGAGGTAACGTCATTTTCCTGCCAGATTAGGAAACGTTTTAGCTTTGTGTTCCATCGTGTGCTATGTTTAAAACTAGGGTGTGAATGAAAGTATAGCTGTTGGCGTATAGACGATATTTGTATGTAGATATAATGCTGTTGCATTAACCATGTGTTGTATGTAACGAATTGATCAGATCGGTGCAGAGCCACTACGATAATTATGTCGGGGCTGACCTGTAATAGCCGGCCTATTCGTCTAACACCTGCACACCTGCTCACTCATTCCCTAACAGGAAAACTCAGGATCTGGCTCTCACTCTCTCTCTCTCTCTCTCTCGGACAACGTGAGAGAAGTGCTTTGTTTTTAAATGAAATACAGTGCAGTGGAAAGTGGTCATCGGTTTTCATGTGCAAGTTTTGCTTCATCCTGTGGCGAGATTTTGTGATTATCGCACTAGCGATCACTAAACTGTTGTAACCGTTTTTGGTTTAGGAAGCTTTATGAATAATGCCCTTGTTTCCTAATTATGACGTCTGTGTGAGAATGTGTTGAAGAGCAAAGAGTTCCTTTATCTGTGTAACAACCAAACGCTTTATCTTTCCTTAAATCGTTTACAAATACGCACAGACTGCAGCCCACAAATGAGGTCGTCGACTGTTGAGATGTAAGAGTCCTTGATATTTTCTGGAAAGAGAGACTCGAATTAGTGTTGCCGGTTAGGAGGAATTACTAGTGTCGCTGGCATTCGGCAGGCCGATAAAAACAGACGTGGCAGTTGTCATGAAGTAGTGAGAAAGCCACCGAACGTAGATTTGACCACATTTGACATGCTTCCGAATATTTAATGACCATTCTTATTGCTGCATATCACAATCTGTTTAAATTTTAGCCGTTGATAAACTTTGTTTTCTTTTAAACGTTTTGAAAACTTGATTCGCTTTTTGTCCGAGCCGTAATTCATACTTTTTCCAGCTGATGATTTAACTGTTGTTATCTAGTTATGTTTTGCAGAAGAATCCGTGTCGTATATTCAGTATTCTAATTTGCTCCGTACCAGCCTTGATCTGTGGCTGAGATTGAACTCTATATTCTAATAAGCCGAATTCTAAACCATAAACGGCTATAAAACCATTCACCGAGCTCGGTTTACTTACCCTCTCAGGTCGTTAGTTTTATATTCGGAGGTATTCAAAACCAGCCTAGGCCGGGAATTAAATTCATGCATAATTTGACATACCTGTTGTGGCATTAGCCTTTACAAGCATTAGTCCCGGGATTGTAAAGCCTTTGTTGTGACGACACTCGACTAGGTACATAATCTACTTAGCTTATATCATATCTTAGTCGTATTGTTGCTGAACTGCTTATTAAAATTGCAGACGGAGGAACTGATTAGATGGTACAAATGTAGTCAGAACAATGTGACGTGGTGCTGGAAGTCGGGCCGACCTCTCCTTTTATTCTATAAATTGAGCGGAGAGCTGTAACCCATTATGCCTTTTTGAGCGAAGTATTACTTGTAGCACTGTCACCGTCACGTGTCTGCAATCTTCTGTTTCATTGGCTGGACCGACACTACTCGCCCGCTCATTGGCCTCAGCCTCCAGCAGCGAGGGTCCGTGAGCTCTATATTACTTGTTGCAGCTTATTCGGCACGATATCTTTAAGTCACCACCTAGTGCCTGGTTTTGAACGTTGCACTTAAAGATAGACAACATTTTCCCGAGGAACAACGCGGTTGATTTATTAATTACCGTGATGAGAACCTTGTGGGTAAGTCTGTTCGAAAATCGGATTATTTACTTATATAGTTATTGTTGTTATGAGTTTACTAACGGTCGTGACAGTTATAGTTTAACTCAGAAATAAGATTTCTATCGTTATTTATATTCTGTTGGCGTTGTTGGTTTGCATTTACCTGGTCACTCCTTATTCTCCACTGTTGTTTAATAATTCTCTTGATATTTCGTTAACTCGAAACACTTGGAGCTGTTCGAGTGCGTCAATGCCAGCACACATTCTAGCCAGGGTCTAACAAATTAGCCACATCTCAACTTTTAACTTTTGCTTTCTCTCGTCAGTACTTTTATAATGTTAGACTAGAATTAATTTTTCAGAGTAGCCATGACTAAGACCAACCGGGTTGTGACTGAAACCCCTTACTTGGATCAAAAACCCGGTACCTCTGGTCTCCGGAAGCCCGTGAAGACGGTTCAGCAGGTCCATTACACCGAGAAATTTATCCAGAGCATCCTAGAAACCGTGTGTGAACTTGATCCGTCCAATAGGAAGCTGCTTATCGGGGGAGACGGTAGATATTACAATAATGTAGTTATCCCGCTCATTGTGAGAATGGCTGCTGCTAACGGGTTCAAGGAACTGATTATCGGAAAAAAAGGGCTGTTCAGCACACCCGCTTGCTCCGCTTATATCAGGACCCATAAATGTGTTGGAGGGATCATTCTCACTGCTTCACATAACCCAGGGGGCCCTGACGGAGACTTTGGGATCAAATATAACGTGGCAAACGGGGGCCCAGCCCCTGATAACGTGACTAATGCCATATTCCAGAAAACTAAGACTAGATCCTTCTACAACATTCTTGATCCAGTGGATATTTCCATTAGTAAAATCGGTAGAACAGTACTGGAAACCGACCAGGGTCAGGTTGTGGTGGAGGTAGTTGATGGTGTTGCGTGTCATGAAGAGCTATTAGGAACGATATTTGATCTACCTAAGATTAAGGATTACCTTCTTCAGAATAACCTGTGCATCACAGCGGACGCCATGGCCGGTGTTATGGGTTCCACTGTACACAGGATATTTGGAGATATTTTGGGGGTAGACTCCTCCCACTTGATAAGGTGCACTCCTCTGCCTGATTTCGGAGGGAGCCACCCTGATCCTAACTTAGTTTATGCCGCCGAATTAGTGACCACAATGGAGTCGGGGAAGTACGAATTTGGGGTGGCATTCGATGGTGACGGTGACAGAAACATGATTCTTGGCAAGAACGGTTTTTTCGTGTCACCAAGTGATAGCTTGGCTGTCATCACTGCCAACTTGGACTGCATCCCATACTTCGTTGGTAAAACGTTTGCAGGCGTAGGCAGGAGTCTGCCAACAAGTGGAGCAGTAGATCAAGTGGCTAAGAAACTCGGATTTGCGATCTACGAGACTCCCACGGGTTGGAAGTATTTCGGTAGTCTGATGGATGCTGACATGATCTCACTGTGTGGAGAGGAGAGCTTTGGAACAGGAAGTAACCACATTCGTGAGAAGGACGGTATCTGGGCAGCTCTAGCCTGGCTCTCAATTCTAGCTTCTCGACAGTGCAGTGTGGAAGAGATTATAAGGTCTCACTGGAAAGAATACGGTAGACATTTCTACTGCAGGCACGACTACGAAGCTCTCACCACTGAGCAAGGAGCTGCCGTTATGGCAGCCGTCAACAACTACACTGCCCCTGACTGCTCATTACCAGCTATGGGGGTCACGGAGGTCATATCCTGTGTGAACTTCTCCTACACGGACCCTGTGAACGGGGACCGGGCACTGAACCAAGGGTTTGTTTTCACTTCTGTTACTGGGTCCAGGGTGATTTTCCGTCTGTCCGGCACTGGTTCCAGTGGGGCTACTATCCGGATTTATCTGGAGTACTACTCTACATCTGAAGTTGATGGAAACGCTCAGGAGATCCTCAGTCCTCTGGTAGAGTTTGCTCTTCTTGTTAGTGACATCAGAGCTCTTTCGGGGAGAGAGGCTCCGACCGTCATCACGTAGGGTATTTCTAGTTATAATATGAGAACCGTTTGTTATAATTTATGACTGGCGTTTCTTCGTCTGCATGATAGATATAATTAATCAATTTTGTAAGTTTTGTAATTTCGAATTGAATTTTTAGTAAAGTTTACAGGATTTTTAGATGAACTGTTTTACGATTCATGTAATTTATTACACTTTGCTGAGGTGCGAAACTGTCTCACAGCTTTTTAGTAAGGTTTCGGGAGTTTTAACATGTTGCAAACAGATAATTACGTGAGCTGCGGGCATACCCACTCTTTGAGGGGAACTGGTTAAACTTGGTCTGTTAATTTATTGTTTCTCCCAAATCTACCTCTCCGTTAGATGAGTGCAGGCACCATTTAACTTTATCGTATTTTATCACAAAATTAACTCAACGATCATTCGATTACTTATTCAGAAGATTGATTAACTAGTGTTCTAATAATTTATTGTTATTTTGATTTGATTTCGAGAATATATTTTTAGTGCATGGCGGGGTTTCATCGATACTTTCCGATTGTTAATCTAAAGTTTACTGTAAATTTTGGCAAGTTGTACAAGAGTTTGTGGGTTTTAACTGTTTCTATCGGACACATTCCATTATGGTCTGCGTTTGACATTGCGGCGAGTCCTTTTCATATTATCATGTTAGTATTTGAATTCGATTTTCATTCATTTAGCATAGTTGAACTGATTTACACTTACTTTTATTGTTCAATTTTATTTCATGATGTCTGCAGTCCAGTTGTAATGATATTTTAAGTAGTTTCAGTTTTAACAGATGACTTGTTTTAGAAGACATGTCCGATGATCCGCAAAAGGCGGAGATGAAGGAAGTACAAGTGAACGGGACGACCCCCGCCTCTACAGAGAACGGAACAGGACCCCCAACCTCAGCACTTGTGGTCAATGGGGCGCCTCCCCCGGAGCCCCTTACTAACGGTGCTGTCACCAGAAACAAGCGAGTTTGCCGGAGAAAAGCTGCCTACAAAGACGACTACACCACTAAAGCCGCTAACCAGGTAACTTATTTCCGGGCTCTTTGATTTGGTTTGCTGAAACTGTAATACCCTCTAATATTATCTCTGTAGTCTGTACAATTAAATCTACACGGGAGACCCTATCTAGCTATTCCACTCCGTTATTTGCACAACCCCTTACCGTGCAGTCGTGCATTTAATGGCCACCCACGATGACAGTTATAATGCGTCCTCGCCAATTCTATACTATATTAAGCACTAGATCTCAAATCTTGCCATAAAGCTCGGCTGAAATCTCGTTATTGGCCGTTTATTAAATTGAGATTCTTCCCAGATAAAGTCATTGACACTGAAGAGAACAGCCGCAGCTCGAGCAACCAGAATCCCCAAACTGCCAGCAAAGCCTTGTAAGGCTGGAACTAACGTTGTGGTCAAAGCTAAAGTTTTACAAGAAGTCCCTGAAGGTAAGGGAACGACAGGTTGTGTATCTGATTGCGACCTTTTTGTGTTTTAATGAGCCTGGCTACGCTTGGAAAAGTGACGAACAATTATCACGTGATATTATACCAGACCGTGCATTTAATCGGATTGGTCGGTCATCTGAATGGTCGTCAGTAGTCACGTGTCGAAACGATTCTGATTTATCGCGACAGTTTTATTCAAGCTCATTCATCGGATCACACAGTTCGATTGTTAATTAGATAGTACTTGAATGAGAAAACTTTCTGTAGACAAGTTATTTCCTTCTATTGTAAGTTGTAATACCGTGTTGATCGTAATTGCATATGCACTGATTTTTTTACTTACACAATTCAACTGTAGCTCTAGCAGACTTATTAATTTCGTAATTTCCCAGGTCTGTTGGTTATGTCGGTGCAGTGGCGAGGAAAGGAGTATTGTGGCTGCTTCATCGATACGAACAAACAAGGATGGGCTTTACCAAGGTATCTTTTGGATGGCAAATATAATCAAATTAATGACCTTGATTTTGTACAGCCTTCAATATCGCCATATTGAGATATGATCGACTGTAAAATCAGTTAAAGTGCTTTAGCCATAACTTTGTACTGTGACTGCAATTCGAGGCTGCATTAGCTTGGTTTGTACGCATACCGAACAATTGCATCATATTTATATAACGGTTTATATCCAAAATTCGTCTTTAACCGAATACAAATTACTTAATACGCCAGTGCTGTGTTGTAACTCACTGTTCAAACTTCCCAGGTTCGACGATCCGAAAGTAAGTTCGATAGCTTTCTTGACGAAAAAAGCCCAACTGTTAGCTTCTGATGTAGATGATAGTACAGATGACGATTATTCTCCTAAAACCAAGAGGTCTATAAGTTATCTTTATTGCGTCCTTTAATGTTAATGTTTGCCGTATGGTTTTTAAAAATCTTTCACAGTCAGATGGTGCTGACATGGTTTTCAACCCTCAATGAGTAAGATTATTAATAATATGAGCGGCATACAAACACCTAAATTCACACTTTTGTTCAATTTTTTGCTATTAAGTAAATTCAGGAATTACAATTCATTGATATGAATTGTCAAGGCATTACATTACAAGATTGTTATAAATCTATTGGTTTAATTATGATTGTGTAACCAAATATGGTAATATAATCATAAGTGACCGTTTTAACTGATGTTACTCGCTTTATAATAGCTTTGCCAACCACGTCTGCTTCCTTTTTTAACGAGCAGATTAGTCAGGGAAAATGTTAATTAATCCTCAACAATCTGTTCAGGAAAAGAGGTGCTAAAGGAAAGAAGAACAAGAAACGGAAAGTTAAGAATGGTGATACTTCAAATGGAAAATCGGTGAAAACCCCCACGAAAAGTAAAGCAGGGCGGCCGTCCAACGCTGACAAAGTCAGCAGACGTCAGAGTACCGACACTCTCGTTGAAAAACCAGAAGCTAATTCTGATAAAACAGCTAAATCTGAGAAGTCCATAAAACCGGATGCACCTGAGAAACCCAATGTCACAAAATCAGATAGAAAATCGGCATCGCCCGAGAAAGAGTCGATGAAAACAGAGAAACCGGCCAGCACTCCGGAAAGGTCTGCCGAGAAACCCTCACCAAGCACCAGTGTCATCGTAAAAACAGAAGCCGCAGCTACACCAGCCCCAACAAAATGTCCTGCGCCCCCTCCTGCTAGCAGTCCCGCATTAGCACCTACTTCGAGTGCTGCTGGAACTCCTAAACAAATTCGGACTGAAAAAACTGCTACAATTCCAGTAGGGACGCTGTCCCATTCGCCTCTGTTGAAACAACCCCCTATTCAAAAAACTGTCAACTCACCGTTCAGTACAATGACGTCACCATCCCCCCAAATTAACGGTGCCCTCGTCTCGCCTTTACATAACCACTCGTTCCCACTCATGGTACCACCCCCATTTTTCATTCCGAACTTTCTGCAGTCTGCCAAGTTTCTTGCTGAGGGCGTCAAACGGACTCAGAGCAACGACGTAGCTAACCCTCATCCGACCTCTTTGTCGGGGAGTGATTTCAACAGTCTGTTCGCTAAAAACTCTGTGGCTGCCAACCCGAGCAGTGGACCTAGCCTCATGTCAGATAGTCAGCTAAGAAACAAAATGACATAGCGCCGTGTGCTACACACATGCTGTATTGTGAAGCCTTTGTTGAGGAGTTCAATGTCAGATTGGTAAAGCTAGAGTCAAAAATGAAGTCCTAGTAATCAGTTCCTTCATTATTCAACCCTGAACTACGGAATTCAGGATTATTATTTTGCATATATTGTCTGGCTGCGGAGACTCAACCCGACAGTTCATAGCTGTTCATCTCAAACCAATTTACAAGAAGACTTATCGCTGGTAACTTGGTTTCAAATCAAATCACTTCTCAAAGTTTAGTTACTGCGACTACTAATATGATTCTCGTATGTATTGTGGAACGCCTACCTTCCGGTTATCACAATTGACAGGGAGAATAACGAAATTCAGATCCCATTATTATTATAATATGCCCATTTACAATATTTTGTGTGATCATTGAAGTTAGTGCGAGATCAAGTCTTTTAATATTATATAGATGAATTTGACAGTGAAATCATTTCGTAAGATCTTAAATTGATAAGTAGTTGATAATTTCAGTTGCTAGTTTTAATCTTCCAAATCGATACAATCACCTCGACGCCACATTTTAGCGTGGCACGATTAAACTTTGAGTGATAATTTATGATTTAACTATATTTATAAATGTATATTTTTTGAAATTTGAAAATTCATTTAGTTCATCTTATTGAAAAGGAAGTCAAACCAACTTATAATGAGAGTATCTAAGAAATAATGTAAGAACATGATGGACACATTTTATTCACAAATTAACATCTGATAAAATACTGTTTACAATCAAATTGGCGCCAAAGTCATCGGCTTCTCTCTAGTTTGCTTTATTTATTGTCCTTCATACAGAAATAGAGTTGTTGTCCTTCTCCTTATTGCTCTTAATGACGTTCATGATTGAATGCTCACTCTGTTGTGATATTTCGGTGAGCCTCAGGTCAAATGTTTTGAGGACCCTGTTATTCTCGAGTCCCTCCTGGAGTACTCTGCCACCAGCTACACCCAGTTTGTTGCACGATATGATGATGTGCTCAAGAGATTGGTTGTGACTGAGGACTTCGGCTAAGTTTGCTGCCACGTGCTCCCCAAGTCCATTGCTCGAGAGATCGATGTGAAGCAAGGTTGAGGTCTTCATTAGCGCCTGGCAAATGTTGCGGCCTCCCTCGTCTCCAATTCTATTCAGCTTCAGATTAAGAGTTTGTAATGTACTGTTTTTCTTGAGAGAGAAGGCTATGGCTGATGCTCCTTCAGCTTGAATGGTGTTATCACACAGATTGACTTCTTCAAGAATTTTGTTGACTGACAGAAGCTTTCCCACAGCTCTGCCAGTTTTGTCTCCAATCCTGTTATGGGACAAATCAAGAACTCTCAGGCCTGGGTGATCTAATAAGTGACTTATTATTAGCCTCGCCTTCTCATCTTCTATTTGGCATCTTTGCAGACGTAATATTTGAAGATGTGTGCAGGACTTCACTGCTTTGGCGAGAAGTGAGCAATCTTTCTGTGTGAACTCAAAGAGGGACCACTCAAAGTTCATTCCACAATTTCGCACACCATAGGTTATAGAAAGTTCAGCCAGGTTGGGCAATTTATTGATGATAAGTCCAAAATCGAAATGGTCGAGTGAATCATCTGTTCCATTGTCTGAACCTTGATCTGATACTTCGTCTTCCTGAGGCAAGCCTGAACTGACATCCTTGATTTGCGGCAAGAGTTGCCTAATTCTTAGACGCTTTATAAAATCTTTCGACAGCTCTAGAGTCTCTGTGATCTGAAATGGTTTAAAATTGAGTTTCATAGATGCTGCGAAAGTAATTGTTGTGGGCAGTGGGCAACCACTTTACAACATTTTTACTTAAATTTACATAATTCAAAGTAAGTTAGAGAGAGAAACTAAAAAATGATAGGTTTTAAAAATCTTAATATTGATCTTGAAACTGAAAAACCATCAAAACTGAAAACTATGATCACAGTCTAGTTTCGGTCTGTCGAAGGTAATTATCTCTGTCATTCGACCCAGTTGTATTAAATTTGAGGCCGGGCGACTATAAAACATTTTGCAAAATTGTGTTATGCACCACTACCACTTAATTGATTGGTTTCAGGACCCCAACAAATCTGCACATAATATCAAGTAAAGGATCTGATCCGCAAATTATGGCCTATCGTCATGGAAACAGCTCAATTTCGCGCGCAGAGATGTAGTATTTTTGTCACGCGCGTACCAAGTAATCACATTTCAATGAGGACGAGCACAAACGAAGGATATGGACTATGTAGGTTCTACAACTTGTTAATTTGAAATTTCTTATTGTTTTAAGTTATATTGATAATATATTAAAAAAGAATAAAAAACTTACGTCAGAAAGTTCCGTTGATTCTGGCACGTAATTCTCGATCAAATCTGAAATGTTCGATTATAATAACACTTTATGAAGGAGCACACCAAGAAAAGAACAGTAAAAAAAGCTTTAACATTTAGTTCCAATTTTAATAGTGTCATTGGTTTTTAACATTCGTCTTAGCTGATTCAATTTGAGCAGATATGGATAATCAAACGGACGACAGAGTGGACAAAGAACAGAATAAACGCAGACGAATAGCACCGGAATTCCAATTCTCAATATCTCCCTTATTCATGTCAATCCTGCTTGGAGTTGTTTTGGTCATTCTTCTGATCAATGATTTCATATGTTACAGAAAGGATACTTGCATGCCATCAGAGACGACCTACAAGATTCAGTTTATTGTTTTTATAGCTCACGTAACATCAATTGGGTTGTTCCTATTTGCTTATGTGCATGCAACAGAAATCAAGCTTCACGTGCAGAAGATACTGTCAATACTGACTGGAACATTCAACTTCGTGTTATTTATTTTGAGGACAGTACTTGAATTAATTTATATAAATTACCACCCAGAGAACTATTTGAAAGATTAGATGTCATATTTGGAAAGAAATTTATTGTATGGTACATAAATATCTTTGCATTTCAAAAGATTTAAATTGCATGAAACTCTTTTACTGTATCAAAATCGATAACAATTTGTGAAGCTGTACAAACCTTCCATATTTCGTTCAAAAAACATTCTCTTCCAACTGTCTCCGTACTGATCAGTGTCGCAAACAGACCACCTGGATTTGCAGCATCTCTTCCAGTAACCCTCGTCTGAGACCAACGGTGCAGTGATCCTGTAACATTTTAAAGCTTGGAATCACTATAATATAAGTTAATGGACCGTGTGTAATACAATTGTAAAAGATTTGAGGCTGTTCGAATTCAGGAATTTTTTGCAAAAAATTCTTATTAACAAGATTTTCTGAGAAATTTTTACTAGCTTTGGCTGGAATAATAAACCAAATATACATAATGGAATCTGTAAAACAGAGGAGCATGTAATAAAAGCCCGACTGCATTATGTATTTCAAGACAAAATATAAGAAATATCGTAATTTTAATTTAATGCAGTCGGTTCGCATACTTATACTGTGTTACTTCAAGGTAATAAAAGGTCTAACTTACTTGAGTGGAAGATCTGTCGCCAAAGCCTCAAGAACTTTTTCTTTGTGTTTTGGCTTCAGCTCATCCAATAACGGGTTCTCTGTAGGTAAAGATAAAATTAACATCTATTTGCAAAATGACTTGTTGGACAATAACTATTGTTCTATAATTTTAAAAGTCACCAAAAGTATTCAAAATAGTGGTTTTATTTAGTAGTAGTACACGTACCCATAGCATAATTTACTTACCTGCAAAATTGTTCACGATGTGTTTCACACATATGTCAATAAGCCGAGGAACTGTTGCCAAGCTCCTGAAAAATAATTAGATTTAAGGACCAACTTGAATAAATATTGGTACATTTTTAATTAACGAAATTTAGCAGATACTTGACTTATCAAGCATTTGCAATTTGCATGCTACCAAATCAGAATTTTTTCCCGATCCATAACTCATGTGCCGAAGGCACAAAAGAGTCAAGGACAAGGGTTAGCGAATGAGATTTTTTTGGTACATGGTAGCCTGTGTCCGTCGACCGTTGTCGCACGCACAAATGTCGCCCACGTTCCTAATATAACGCTGAACTGATCAAGCAAATCGTTACTTTCACCATGTACGTATGGGTGGCAGACAACTGAACCCAATTGAACCTAGTTCCCACGCAGTTAACAGGCACCCAATCAGCTTAATTGGGTGACCAATCAGCTTAAATCCCAAAACGACAATATGATTATATGTTCTAAGTTTGACAGTTTTGATACAGTTTTAGATTATCTTTTTGCCATTGCTAAGTGCTTTGGACACGATGTTACTGCTTAAGCTGAAATATTATGATGACTTTGTGTGAGATTTTAAGTAATAATTATTATATATTTACAATTACCTATTAAAATTAACATTAATGAAATATTGTCTCTGTTTTGTCTCCGTAATTATAGCACTAGAAACCAGGCAGCAGCTAAACTAGAACGGTATTTGGAAACCTGTTAAACTGTTAGTGATTTCTAGTGACGATTGGGTTCAGTTGTCGTTTCAAAGTTAATTAGGTAGTCTGATTGGGTTTATAATTATTTTCCCAAGCTACCCTGTCTAGGAAAAGTCCAAATTGGGTTCAGTTGTCCGGTGGCAGACAACTGAACCCAATTGAACCTAGTTCCCACGCAGTTAACAGGCACCCAATCAGCTTAATTGGGTGACCAATCAGCTTAAATCCCAAAACGACAACTGAACCCAGGTCATATCACAACTGCACCCGAATTGGAAATACGACAACTGCATCCTCGAGAACACAGGCCATCCAGCCTTTACGGAGTCGTCCTCTCAGTCTCTTCCCATAGTTTGGTTTCTAATCCAGTAAAAAATTGGGAAACTGTGTCTCTGGCATTCTGACAACGTGTCCGTCTAGCTTTGAAAGTTAGCCTTGTAGATACGGATCTTGATGGGCGTTCTTATAGTTCCACTGTTTCATGTCTTCCAAAGCTGGTGGAACGCACCATTAGCACGCTGGATACTTGGCTCAGGTTACTTGACTCAGATCTCGTGACTCCTGATGCTTTGGGAGGGCCTGCCATGGTTCAGATCTCGAGCCCTGGGTCGGATCTCGATGCTTGAGGAGCAGTGGATCGTATCCTTTTCGGCACGCTTCGTGAACACGTAAGCTTGTTAGATCATATCTCGCGATCGAAAGGCACCTGAGACCTTGTCATCTATTAGTAACCCTAACTGGATTGCCGATGGAACGTTCTATGTCTGCCCTAGGATTTTCCAACAGAGTTACTCCATCCACGCTGTCATCGACAAGAAGTGCATCCCTTTGGTGTTCGCTCTACTTTCTGACAAGACGGAGAAGACGTATATATTTTTGTTGAATATTATAAAGAGTGCTGTTTGTAATATTGATGATGGTTTCGAGAAGGCAGCTATGAACGCTTTTTCGAAGGTGTTAGAAAAGTTCAACTTGATGAACTGCTTCTTTCACCTTTGTCAGAGTGTTCAGAAGCGCATCTTCAAAAAGTTCAAGGTCCAATACCGCAGTGACAAGGAATTTGCTCGAGCCTCTAGGCTTGTGGCATTTCTGGCATTCGTGCCATTGTCCAGTATTGATGATGCGTTTGAGGCTCTGTCCATTCACATTGCCAGTACTTATCCTTTGCTCATGGATGTGGTACACTACTTTGAACGTAGTTCCACCGTGGTTTCAGGTCAAGGGTTACTCGGGCCAAGCCCACTGTTCAGGAGTATTTCAGGGCTATTCGTGAGCAGCAGGTGATAACCGATTTTCATATCGATCGTCTCGCTGTTGGAGTCACTCCCTCCAAGAGACGGAGGAACACGAGCTCGAACCTTGAGTTATATGATTATATGTTCTAAGTTTGACAGTTTTGATACAGTTTTAGATTATCTTTTTGCCATTGCTAAGTGCTTTGGACACGATGTTACTGCTTAAGCTGAAATATTATGATGACTTTGTGTGAGATTTTAAGTAATAATTATTATATATTTACAATTACCTATTAAAATTAACATTAATGAAATATTGTCTCTGTTTTGTCTCCGTAATTATAGCACTAGAAACCAGGCAGCAGCTAAACTAGAACGGTATTTGGAAACCTGTTAAACTGTTAGTGATTTCTAGTGACGATTGGGTTCAGTTGTCGTTTCAAAGTTAATTAGGTAGTCTGATTGGGTTTATAATTATTTTCCCAAGCTACCCTGTCTAGGAAAAGTCCAAATTGGGTTCAGTTGTCCGGTAGCCGTACGTATCCCACTAGACTCTAATTTATAGCATATTATTTCAAGTTAGTATTACTATTATGCACAAATCCGTGTCGGGTTGCACAAACAATAAACATAATATGGTTACATAGAAATATACACGATTTTCAAATTCAATATAGAATTAACTCAGCGGCGCTCGGCCTATCTTATATCTGCATGCTTATAAAAAGTAAAGCCTGGAGTCCCCTGGTTACATGGAATATGATAAAATACGCTATCACGGATCGGGAAATTAAGCGGCCATCCACAAAAGAAAAGCAGCCGCATTTCTTGTTGCAGTTGCTGTGTTCTAAGCAAACGATGGATAATAATATGTAAATGGTTTGAATATCCATGAAATATTCTCATACCATTCAGGATCTTCTGCTATTATTCTTCTCATCTTCCTTGGATCCGCCGCCGGGTTTGCAAACTGAAGTTGGATACAGTTAGTCAATTAAAGAAACCCTTAACATTCAAAAGCTTTGTTCGAATTAACTTTCAGATTTTTGCAAAAAAATATGACAGATAATTTGTCATTTCTTGATGTAAATTCAAATACACTCACAAGATTCTGTTCATTTTCATCGAGAAGTGGAGGTTCCATAACGTAGAAAACCTAAAGGTGCAATGTTTTTGATTAAAGTTTATAATCTAAATTCTAGATTCTCGCTTAATAATCATAGAAGTTGAGTAAGGCCCAATAAATGACATGATACGATATTAAATTACATCATTTCCATTTCCAAATAAAATTGTAAACCTTATTGTATCAGAAAGTGCCAACTTGTATTGAAGCAGCGAAAGCATTGTTTTTATATGAGTTAGAAGATGTTTGATTTGATATGCAACAGTGAGTAAACAAAAGGCAATTCTAGTATCCAATATAAGAATATTATAATAGCTAGGTATCAAGAGTAGGTGGAATAAAGCTGGAATGTAGCTGGGATGTAGCTGAAATGGAGTGGCTTTCATGAGAACAGTCGCTAAAGTTAGCAACAACATAGCAATTGCTTACTTACAAGTCATCACAGTTAGTTGTATCTGATAAGGTGACTGCAAGACACGAGTTTAACTAATAATAATATAATGAAGATAATTGAGCCTCAACCATGTGAACGACTGCTTATTGTACGTTTGGAGGATTCTCGTCTTTCTGTCGGAACAACATTCAGACCAGCAACACTGTCGTTTAAATTGTTAAATGAAAAAAAGGGGGATAGGGGGGATTCCATAATTATATCATATAAAATTATTATGATGATGATTACTAACTTAATGAGATTACTAACTTAATGAGATAAGTAATGAAGTTACTTAATAAATAATTTGTGTTTTTGTGATGTCTGAGAATATGATAATATTGTATAAGGAATAATAATATAACAAAATAATTGTGTTTAAAAAACATAACAAATCATTCCGCACAAAACTGATTTAAAAATCAAAACTCAAAAATGAAGTTAAACTCCCTTGAGATTAAAATTAAATAATTTATCAGCTACCAAAATGTGTACATCGTGCACAAGAAAATCCAAGCTTCTAAAATATTCCGGATTTTGGTTCAGGTTCAAGATAATAACATTTTGGATTAAGACTCAAGACTCAAGAGGTTGGCCCTTAGATTCCTTGAGAGGTTCGACCTACAAGATCACCCCTGAAAAGTAGAAGACCATCAGTTTTAGTCCCGAAGACAGTCCCATCATAACTGACACATCATTACAAATTTCATTTATCTCGGTAGGAATTTAGACACCTGGCCATTTCTATTTCATAGTTCCAATTTGTTTACTAGTTGGCATCTTTATATCAACGTCTCAATAGTATGTATAGTAGTTAAACCTCTCTATACCCTGCTTATTCCTTTAAGGAGAAGTTTTACTGGAGATGGTAATTCGCTTTTAATATCCGTTTAAGACTTTCAGGCACATGACAACCAACCCTGTCTTTGGGCGGAAACGACTGCATCCAGGTTACTGGAATAGAAACAGGTAATTTCTTCTCAGCTCTTAGTAAAGAAGTAATCAGGATAACATAAACAAGACCTTTCAATTTTCACCGAGGGATGTCTTCTATCTATCAGCCTTGAAGAAATATCTATTAGTTTCTGCCACGTGCTGTCTCACGATTGACAAAATGCAGTTAGTGAGACAGCCCTGTTGGAGCTCTATGGTTTGGGAATATATGAGCTAAGTTCATTCCAAGATGCCATTTGTAGTAGACAATTTGACTCAGATTAAACCTACTGCAATTTGACTGCAGTTCACCTCAGTCCCAGAAAAAAATAACTGGAATATGAAACTGTGTTGTCTTGACTTTATTCTTTATAGAACTTGGCCTAACATTATTACAATATATCGAATAAAATATCTGGGTTAAGATTTAAACATAATGATTCCATGGATAAATCCAAGAGTTTCCACTGGGGCCGGGTGGGAAAGGATAATGGGGAAGGATAATGGGGAAGGAGGAGGGGGAAGGATAATGGGGAAGGAGGATGGGGAAGGAGGAGGGGGACCGTGGTGAAGGCCTGTTGGATGGATTGTTGGTTGTGAGCCCCAGTTTAGGAGAGGAGCCGGGGCTGAACGCCATAATTTTTTGCTGTGCATTTGAAAGCAGTCACATTACAAATAACGGTAAATTTTGAATTTTGCAACAAATTTTATCGCATTTATATCAAGTACTCCAACGTCATTAAGTTGGTCAACATCGAACGATTAAGAGAAAATTTTAGATAATTCTAATGATCATTGATAAATTGTTGTTCAGAAACCTGTTTCAAAGTTGTCTGATCTAAAGTATGTGCCCTGAATTTTACGGCCATTAAATTCCTCTTAAGAAATTTTTAGAAGTTGAAAAGCTCTTCATTGGTGGCAAATTTAAGTATTAAAAGGAGATATCCATACCTGCAATGATAACGGGTCGTCGAAAATAGTCAGAAGTGTCGTCCTTTGACCCAAACATTATCATATTGCCATTACCAGACGACCAAGTTTCATTACAGTTCGAAGCAGTGAAGTCAATGTCGATGACTTGTATATCATTACATTCCACCACCATAGATCCATCCAATAAAGAGATCGACCAGCGTTGGCTAAGTGTCTTTGGAAACGAAGAAGGAAAATACTTCCAAGATGATTGACATATTGACACTATATACCCTGCACCATAGGAATAACTGAAACTTATGTGCAAATATCCTAAATGCTTAGAGTCACTAAAGAAATCGATCCACAAGTTTCTATTTTGAGCATTAAGTGGAGTGTTATTTATCACAACAAGGGGCTCAGTCGTGAAGTCGTACTCGTATTGTTCGTCACTGTCCGGTACTATCCAGCCAGATCTGTTACTTGCAACACAGAGTGGTTCCTCATCGTACAAGAATAAGATGCCACTGTGACATGTTACTACTGTGCTTCCTGACATCTGTAATCTAGTAAAGCAGGACACCTCAACTTTGGTACCAGAGGGCACAGGAAACGTCTGAGAAGTTTGTAGATAACTCCATGCAGGGGTCAGTCCAGTGCAGCTTCCCTCTGGCAAACATTGAGGAGTCTTAGAAAAGGAGTATATTGTTCCACCCAAGCAAGTTACTTCTGTTGAACCAAAGAATTTACTATCATCTGGACAATCTTCTGTTATAGTAATTTTAGCTCCAGCTGGTACAGGGAACTCTTCTGCTGTTTCTGCGATTGTTTTCCACAAAACAGGAAGTCCAGTGCAACTCTTCGGCGGAGTCTTTCGGTAGAAGTCAATGGGTGAATCATCAGACTCAACCTTGAAGTTGCTTATATCTTGAGACCATATATCTGTGCACTTATCGTCTGAAACTTCGCCAAAAACAATGCTAATGACTAGGTCCCCATTACAGAGCAATGTGAATGACTCAGCTGTTTTGATGAACGTCCAGACTCTACTTGGTGTATTTGGAAGTTGTGAAATATGCCCGTATTTTTTCATACAGGGTTGCAACAGATAACTAGGATTTTCTGCAAATTTAAGTACAAAAAGTCCGATATCTTTGGATGCTGTGTTAAAGAAGAGTTTGAACTTTGCTGGCACGCATGTAACCTTAGGAGTATTTGTCAGAATCTGAAGAGGTGCCTCGGTAAAATCAATATCGTACTCTGTCGATTCTTCAGGTTTGAGCCAGCCTTCATCAGTACTTGGTGTACAGAGAGGTTCCTCATCTTGGTAAGTGTAGAAGATATCACTGTGACACGTGACTTTAGTGCTTCCCGACATCTTAAATCCTTCATCATAACAAGTTACTGTGAGCACAGTACCAGTTGCTACTGGAAACACTGTACTTGTCTGTAGGTAGTTCCAGCTGGGGTAAAGTCCAGTGCAAGTTCCTTCTGGGATGCATTGAGGAGTTCTTGAAAAAGGGTAGAATGTTCCAGCCAAGCAAATTACTTCAGTTGAATCGAAGAATTTGCTATTATTTGAACACTTTCCTGTCACTTTAACCTTAGCACCATTTGAAACAGGAAACGTTTCAGTTGTTTCAGTGAACGTTTTCCATGCGACTGGAAGTTCGTTGCAGTTGTTAGAAGAGAGGATCCGGTAAAAGTCAGAAGAGGTGGAAGAATGACTTTCTTGAAATCCGAACTTGGTCGCATCCTGAGACCACTTGTCTTTGCAATTGTCATCAGTAATATCTCTAAAAACAATGTTTATGACTTGGTCGTCATTACAGTACACTGTGATAGATTCTTCAGTTTTTACAATCGTCCAGACTTTACTTGATGCAACTGGAAGATTTGGAAATATCTTGTAATTCGACACACATTCACAGAACAATATCCTGTAAGAAGGTGAGCTGGAGCCTGCTGCAAATTCAATATCTATGTTTCCAATCCTACTTCCTGATTGTGTAGTGAAGTAGATATTCATAGATCTGAGAGAAGGAGAATCAGTATTATCATTAGGAGTATTACTGAGAATCTGAAGAGTTGCCTCAGTAAAATCAATATCGTACTCGGTCGATTTTTCAGGTTTGAGCCAGCCTTCATCAGTACTTGGTGTACAGAGAGGTTCCTCATCTTGGTAAGTGTAGAAGATATCACTGTGACATGTGACTTCAGTGCTTCCCGACATCTTAAATCCCTCATCATAACAAGTTACTGTGAGCACAGTACCAGTTGCTACTGGAAACACTGTACTTGTCTGTAGGTAGTTCCAGCTGGGGTAAAGTCCAGTGCAAGTTCCTTCTGGGATGCATTGAGGAGTTCTTGAAAAAGGTGAAAGTGTTCCAGCCAAGCAAATTACCTCAGTTGAATCGAAGAATCTGCTATTACCTGAACACAATCCTTTCACTTCAACCTTAGCACCATTTAAAACTGGAAACGTTCCAGTTGTGAACGTTTTCCATGCGTCGGGAAGTAAAGGACATCCTTCTGACTGTGGCGGCTGTCGGAAATATTCAACAATGGTCATGGTTTTCGGTGTACTACTAGTGAACTTGACCTTCTTTATTTCAGCAGACCATTTCTCGAAGCAGAAGTCATTGGGAACGTCTGCATAGACAATGTTGACAACATAAATACCATTGCACAGTATTGTAAAAGACTTCTTGGTGATCACAATTGACCACAATATACTGTCCTCTGTTGGAAAGTTTGCAAATTCCTCAGGTTTTGGCCGACAGTTAAAAATAACATAGCTAGGAGCTGATGCTAGAGCAATTTGTAACTGCCCAGCCGAATTTCCTTTATCATTGCGGAACTCAAGGTACACTTTTTCAGTTGAGGTGCCATTTGGAGTGTTAGTGAGTAAGACTAATGGAGCATTTTCCATATCTATCTCGTACTGCTTGTTCTCTATCGGCTTTATCCAACCATTGTCTTCACTTATAGGGCACATCGGCTCTGTGCCGTAGCTGTATAAGGTGCCTGAAAGACATGTTATTTCCTTACTTCCAGACATCAGGATTCCATCAAAGCAAGTCACCTGTAGTTCAGTGCCACTTGCTACTGGAAACTTTGTATCTGTCTTTAGGAAGCTCCATCCCGCATAGAGTCCAGTGCACTGCTCTTTGGGTAAGCATTGGGGTGTGTGCGCATAGTTGAAGATGGAACCAGCATAGCACATCAAATCTGTGGAACCAAACTTGACTGTTTCTCCTAAGCAGGAGAAGGATACAGACAAAACTGTGTCAGAAGTAACTGGAAAAGATGTATCTGAGTCCGTATTTTGAGGAAAGTTGGAAGGAAACTTTGTACATTCAGCCTTCGGTGATTGCCTGTACTCATCTTGGTTAGATGAGATAGAAGAGAACCGTATCCCTTTCACGGTTGACCAATTCTCTTCACAATTCTTTTGCAGTGAAT